CCGAATGATTAAAAAAAAAAAAAAAAGTACAGCCTCAGAAACCCTACAGGAAGTTCTATTCTATCCTATAGGGTCATTACAAGTCACTGCTGGCAATGGATTTTGATAGCTCTGGTCAAGCACCATTTTCTCTACTTTGCTCTTTTGGCCCTCTAGTCTGTAATATCAGAGACAGTCTTCCCCTGCACCACCCCATCTGTATCTTTCTAGGGAGCCTCCTGAGCTCTCTGACTTGCCCACCACAAGGATTAGACTCTTTGATAATCCTCCAGAGGTTGAAAGAAGAGATGCTGACATCTCCTTAGGGTGTAGGAGAAAACTCTGTCCGCAGCCCCTCATAAAAATCCCACCTACTTATTCTATTTGCCTTTGCTGTCCATTTCTTTTGATTCAGCAGAGACAGAGTCTGAGCTCCCATGTTTGCATTCTCATCCATGAGACCCAATGTCTTCATTCTGTTGGTTGGAAGGGCTGGGGAAGGAAGGGCTTTGACCTGAGAAGAGGAGTAGGTGGAGACCAGCAAGGTGGCGGCATGACAATATCTGGGGCAGTGAAGGGGACACATATCTATGCTGTTAAGTGTTGTCAAGTTGTTTCAACTCATAACAACTCTGTATAGGTTTTTCGAGGAGTGGCTGGTGAGGCAACCTTGCAGTCCTGTGCATTAACCCACAGCACCACACCAGGACTGCTATCTATGCTAGGAAGGAGTGAAAGGAATAGTGGCAAAAGTCTAGACTCAGAAGCCCAGGAAAACTGAAACACTTGAGGAGCATATAAGACAGAGTTTTAGCTTCTTTTTATCTCCACAGGGAAACTGAGTCATCCCCCTCCACTAATGGAAAGCTCTTTCTTTGGAAACTTGCCTAGGTTCCTCCACTATAGAGAGTTAATTGGCAGCAGATGGATGGCACAGCTGGCTCTGAACCAGCTCCCTGCCCCCATCAGTACCCAAGTCAAAATCCTTGCTTTTTCTCTATCTGGGGATGGGTATGATGGGGAGAGGCCTACACAGAAGGCCCACCTCAGGGACGACCCTGGGGTCCCCTACCATTTCCGGTCTCTGTAATTTCATTGCCCCCACAAGAGGTCCAGAAAGAAACTGGCCAAGCAGTGAAAGGTAGAATTAGAACCCCCCTTGGGATCATTTCCTCTCTAATACTCTGGAGGATGCCTTCCCTCTCCCTACCCCTGGCAATGAAGGGAAGAGAGGAAGTGTGATCCTGAGGCCTAGACAGTGGCAGGGAAGGGAGACCTGCCTGCCATTTCCTTTGCACCAGGCCCTGAAAGTCACTCTACCATATATATGTTCTGCCTCAACACCAGATCCTCCTAGATCCCTTTCAAATCCTGTGGGAGGGATGCAAGCTAGTCAGCCCCAAGAAGCTCAAAAGGATGATGAAGGAATCTGCCCCTGGACTCCTTCCTTTGTATTGATGGTGCAGGCAGGCAGCAATGAGGGGGCTCTGAGGGAAAGGATGCAATCTGGAGGATCCAATACTTAACACATTAAATGCTAGTGTGTGTGTGTGTGTGTGTGTGTGTGTGTGTATGTGTGTATGTGTGTGTATGTGTGTGTGTATGTGTGTGTATGTGTGTGTGTATGTGTGTGTATGTGTGT